GGAGGGACCAGCTACTCCCCAATAAACCTTATTTCCTACAGGTGATTGATACAGTACCACTGGGTGAGGTGGCAGATGACATATTTGGTTACTTCGAACCCCTGTATCGGCTGATCCCTGACATGCCAAGGCCTCCGGAAACCTTCCTGAGAAGGGTCACAGGTCAGGCCCCCACGGTGGAAGCTCCACAAGTGCTGAGTGAACTGTCTTAGGTCCAGGCTGAGGGGGTTGCTCAGTTAGTGGAGGGGCATAGCGCTCTAGATGATGTCCCTGTAAGGACACCAACCAGTGCCCCTGATGGAGTGGGTCTCAGGCAGAGTCTGTGGTTAATGGGAGCAGAGGCCTGATCTCACTGTGGGGCACCAGCCTTTCCCTAGCCCCACCCTTGGGCACCGTGTCTCTACAGGTTGTAACGAGCAGGTACTGAATGGAGATGCTGGGGCTGCCCCAGAGCCTCCCTGCCTCCCCAAGGAACCAGCACCCCCAAGCCCAGGTCAGTGCCTGGGCAGGAGGGACAGAGGGCCAAACCCAGGGGCAGAGGGACCTCTAGGTGGGGTGGAGGGGAGAAGCCTAGATGCATGCTGTGTCTATCACACCTCATGCCGACAGAGACCTCCTGGGCTCCAGAGGAAGCCAGGAGGAAGGTTCTGGGATTCCTGTTCCAGGGCCTCACTTCTGGGACCCATCTGTGCCTCTAATGGCAGTATCTATACTGTCCCCTGAACAGATGCCTCTGCCCAGTTGCACACCCTTTGCTCCATAGCCTCCCTCTTGTCACTAACCTACCTACTCTGTCCCCAGAGTCCCAGCCACTCAGGGACCTGGACTCTGAAGTTTTCTGTGATTCCCTGGAGCAGCTGGAGCCTGAGCTGGTGAGACAACCCTTTAGACCTTCCTTTCCCCACCCCACTGTGCCCTGGCTGCTCCCACTGTCCCCCTTAGACCTTTTGACTCATTTCAGCAGGTTTGGGGAGAGCAGAGGAGTGCTTCTGGAGGAGAGCCTGATACAAGAAACAACCCTGTGCCCCCCACAGGGAAAGGTGAGTCACTGCCTGACCCTTCTCCCCTTTCTGCCCTTCTCTATGGTTCTGGTGCCCCGGGCTTTTCCCTGGCTGCCCTCCTGAGGCAGAGATGAAAGTACAGCACTGGGCACGGGAGAGAGCAGCCTCTGCCCAGGAAGGGTTGCCAAACAGCCAGACACCAGCCTGGATGGGCAAAGTCCTTGCCCAGCCTCTTCTCCCTGAGAGCCATCAGGAGCCACCAGGCGCTGAAGAAGGAAGGGCATCTGGGGTGGGAGTGCTAGCCCTCTATGAGGCTACAGCTACATGGCCTTGGGAGTCATCCTCTCTCTCTGGGCTTCCCATTCAGGACTCTAAAAGGACAACAATGAGTTCTGCCCTATCCCCTTCTAGAACTTTCAGGGTTCCATGTCCTACAGCAGTACTTTCAAAACTATTATCTCCTTCATGCCTTTGAGCACTCAGCCCTGTGAGGGAGAGGATATCTTCCTCTAGTTTTCAGATGACGAAATGAGGCTCAGAGAAATTACTGATGTGCTCAAAGTCAACGGCTAGTGGCAGCACTGGGATTCAAACTCCTGGTAGCCTGTTTCTCAGTCATGCAGATATACAAGAGTCAGAGTTGGTACAGGGATTGTGCCCTGGACCTGCCCCAGCCTGCCACCACCCTGCCCCTAGCTAAGTTGCCCTGAGTCCCCCTCCCTGTATGTTGTTCTCTGCAGAGGAGTCGAAGGGCAGCCTGCCGGCGTCCCAGGAATTGGACATGTGGCTGTTGGGGACAGTTCGAGCACTGCAGGAGAGCATGAGGGATGTCCAGGGGAGACTGAAAAGCCTGGAGAGCATGCCTTGTCCCCCCAAGCAGGTGAGCCCCTCTAAGACCCAGAGCAAGATTAGGGCAGAACTCTTGAGGATTTCTATTCTGAGCTCTTCATCTATCCACATCTGTCTTTGTCCCCATGTCTCTACTTGCCTATACCCTTGCCTCCTCGAGGGAATGGTGTGACTCACAACAGAAGCAGGGAAGTCGGGATCTGAAGTACTTCTACCCTGGAAGGGAGAGTGGGAAGGGCCCACTTTTCCTGCTCTTACCTCCCACCCTTTGCCTGAAGACACTGAGCGGGAAGACTAATTCCAACAGTTGGAAGGGCCAGGATGTGTTTGCTCTTAGTATTAGGGCCGGGTGTTCCTGTTGTCCCTCAGTTAGGACTTCTGTTCCCAGATTTAGTTACCCCCCAAACAATTGAGCCCTCACTCCCCTCGATTCCTAGATTTGCTTGCTCCTTACACCTCAGCTTCTGCCATTTGTGGCACCCCAGCTGTGTGCATGACATGTTAGTCGCATTATCTCATTTAATCCACACAACAGCCCTATGAAATAGGTTTTCCTTTCCCCTTTGCAGATGAAGAAACTAAGGCTCTATGAGGTTGAGTAACTTACCTGAGGGCACACAGCCTGGAAGAACCTCAGAGCTGCTGTGAGGATTAGATGAGATACTGCATGTAGGTACCTCCCCAGTGCCCAACACACAAGAAGGTCTGCAATGGAGTTCACTGTTCTTGTTAGAGCTGGGAGTGGCCCTAGGTCTATCTCTCCCCCAAAGCTGGCACCATTAACTCTTGAGAGGGTCTGTTGAGAGGCCTGGGGTTGTGGAGGCAGGCGAGGGCTGAGTTGCTGGATGTGGGGGAGTCACTTAGGTGACCTCTAACCCCCTTGGCATAGTGTCAATCAGGGTGGCAGGAATTTGCTCACATCCACAGTGGCTAACATTTCAACGCCCCCCCACTCCAGGCTTTATTTGTTTACTTTTTACTAATTTTATATGCTGAGGATTTCAAAGATTTCTACCCTGAGATACTTGGATTTACATCTCTAAAAATAAGAACATTATACTACCTAATTTTATCACATACAATAATTCCTTCATATCATCAAATAGCCAATACAAACTCAAATCTCTCCAGTTGTCCCTAAATTGCCTTTTTCCAGATGCTGTCTGTCCATCCCAGGAGCACATGCTGCATCTGGTTTCTCTCTCCTTTTAAGACTTTTAATTCAGCCCTGTTGCTTTTCCTTGCTACGGAGATGGGCCAGTGGTCCTGTAGAAATGTTCCACTTTTTGGGTCTATCTATATCCTGGTGGCTAGTTTTACATGACCGGATTTCATCAGAGGTGATGTCCTTCACATAATGGGGCACATATCTGGATGTCCCACCATTATTCTTACATGGACCACCAGCATGGATAAAGGGGTGACAGTCAGGTCTTACCATCATAATGTCATGTTTTCCTCTTGCAGCCAGGGATTGTCCAGTACCCTGTCTAGCCCATTTCCTGTATAGATTTTGACAACAATTGATAATCCTTGCCTGGATTGATAATTTATTTGGTGATTACAAAAATTTGACTTTAAAATTCTATTATTCCTTTAACATTTATTAGCTGTTATTTTTCTGTAGTTTCCTTGATCATTTAGGATTTCTCTGAAATATAATGCCTTATGAAAAGGCAGAATAAGTGCTTAATTCTCTTTTTCTTTTTTAAATAAGTTGATCTGACAGCCAATTCAATGACAGATTTTCAACTTTCTCTTCTTTTGAGCATCATTACGGACTCATGGATTTTAGAGATTATTTCAGTCAACTGCAGTCATTCTCTTTGATGCTGAGATTGTCATAACTTTCATCAGTGGAGACTCCTTCCAACTGGGTCCTATGTTCTTATAACAGACCTCATTAATCTTTAAAAGCTTTCTTGCTTTCTGGCACAAGATGTCTCACATTCACGTCTATCTTCCCTGCTCCAGACCTGGGATCACTCACTTTTCCAAGGAGCTCTGGCTCCTTTTAGCAGAAAATATTTAGAAATAATATCTGAGCAACCTGGGGCCCTGTGAAATATGTGGCACATCCTTTATAATATGGGGTCTTCAGGCCACACCAACAGGGTCATTGCTTTGTGGCGCAGAGGAGACAGCCTGCGGCCTCTCCAGCTTCCAGCTCTCTTGGCACCTGGAATGGCCCTGGGAGGAGGATGTGGGAGGGAGCTGGGGCTCACCCATCTGTCAGGGACACACTACGGACCCCAGGTGTCCTTCTCCTTCTAGTGGTGCAGATATGGGAGTAGGGCATTCTCTGCCCCAGCCTCACAAATCTCTGGGAAGTAGAAGTTCCCACTGAGTTCTGGGGCGGCTTCCTAAGGAGGGTGCTATCTGTGCTGAGGCCTCCGCTGGCCCCTGACTCACTCCCTCCCTCTTGGCAGCAGAGGCCCCGGGCCAGTGCTCGGCCTTGGCTCCTCAGGTTCTCGGGTCCCACGCTGCTCTTCTTCCTCCTGTGGCCCTTCATTGTCCAGTGGCTCTTCAGACAGTTTCGGACCCAGAAGAGGTGACTGTCAAAGGAGGAGTCTCTGCGGCCAACGGAAGAGGCTGTGAGCCGCTGTCTTGCTGTGCCCTGAGCCTTCGTAGGGTTTAGAAGAACAGCATTAATTCAACTCCATCCCCACCCCCAGTGTTTGCCTTGGCACCCCTCCCCTAATGGGGGCCGGATAAGACCCCACCCTTCCCTACAGCTTCACAAGGACGCTTCTCCCCACCCCCACACAGGCTTCCTTGGGAGGCAGCTTTTGTGGTGCACGTCCCGGGTTCTGGGTTGGCCGGTGACTCGGGGGCGGAGCTGCCGGGTCTCAGTCTCTGCCCTCCCCACCCTCTTGGGTCACCTGACTCCTCTCCCACTCCAGCCTCTCCCCTTGGAGGCTTGAGCTAAGGGCAAGTTGGGACTTGGCTGGGGCCTGGGATTGGTTGGCTGGGCGGGAGGTAGGCCAGGAGACAAGCCGAGTTGGGGGAAGGCTGAGAGTGCAGGCCCTGCGGGAGGGGCGTGAGCTCCGTTTGCTGGCATTCCTCCCCCAACACACACTCAGGATGTCTTCACTGAAGATTCACTGACAAGTGACTGTTTCACTAAATAAAATAAAACTTTAATCTTCTGCCGTCTACGAAGTGAGGCGGAAAGCGGATCTGGGGTGTGCGAGGCACGTACCTTCTCGGCACCCCGCCCCTCCACGTCCCTGTGAACGGCCCAGCGAGGCCCGCGGGTGGTTTCTGAGGACGTTGTCTCTTTCGGGGGCAAGTGAATGAACACAGAGGCCAGGGTCTTCACGAGAAGCAGAGGGCGGGGCACCCGGGAGACGGGGTTGCTGGCCACGCCCACTGCCCGGGGACCGTGGCCAAGGGCTCGGCCCTGCCTCCTTCACCCCGTCGGGGGCCTAGCGGGCCCTGGACCTTGCTCGAAGACAAGGGCTGCTGCTCTCTGCTCCACTCGCTGGGCGTAGGCTTGGGGTCCTGACACTCTAGACCCGGAAATGCCCACTACCCGCTTTTCCTTCAGCTGCTTGCACCCGGCGCCCCCTCCCCATGACTTTCTAGAAACTTTCTGGAAAGCTGAGACCAAGTTGGAGCCTTGTCCCCGCCCTGCCCTTAGGAGTAGGGACAGGGCCCTACGCAAGAAGGCCCAGTTGGGGTGGACAGAACGCCCTCGTGGGCACGGCCCTCCGGGTGCCACTAGTTGCTGTTGGCTTCTCAGGCTCCGAACTTATTTTTCTCACCTCCTGGCAGCCCTGGCCCCGTTGTCCTGGCCGTCCTGGCTCTAGCCAAGAGCCTGTATTCAGCGGGGAACCCACCACTCTGACCACCTCAGAGGCCACTGGCCAGGGTCCCCACCTTGGAGTCCTGCATTAGCCTCGAGCCCCCTGCAGCTGCCACCACTTGGGCCCCAGACCCTTTCTGCCCCTGGGTAAGACAGAGGCAGTTCTCAAGGTCCGTCCTTGGAGACCCTTAAACTCCTGAGTTACCTTGGTTAACTCCTGGCCTTGACCACTTTCCCAGGCTTGGCCATCACTCACTCCACTGGAAGCCATGGTCATTCTTTGACTGTCAGTCCTTTTCTCAAGGTGGTGTCCCTCAAGACAGACACACGGGCCCTGCTGTTCCACAGTCCAGCCCAGGGTTATAGAGGTGCTGAATAAACCCGTGTTAAGGATGGACAATAGAGGGATAGTGAGAGAGGGACCAAATTGGTGCTGGGGATGCAGGTGTGGGGGGGAAGCCAGCTCCACCACTTGTACACACTAGCTATGTGACTTGTGCAAGATTTATAACTGCTCTCAGTTTGGGTTGCCTTGTTTACCAAATAAGGATCTTTTCGTCATAAGACAGTCCTGATGTTTAAATGACCACAACGTGTAAAATGCATGACAAAGGGTTAAAACTCAGCTAATAGTAAGGTGCGTGGCCTCCTGTTTGATAGAATTCTAGGATTCCACAACCTATTAGTCCGGCCACCTCTCCCCCAATATGACAAATGAACCCATACAGCTGAGCCCTGTCCAGTAAACTGAGGCTGGGCTCAGCTATACCTTCTAAATCCCAGTTGAGGGTACCCAGGAGTCCTCTAGAGTCTGAAAATGTGGTAACAAATTGGAGGTCTCTGACTCCCAGGGTGAGGGGCAGCTCTAGCTCCCAGGGAGCCTCTTGCATGACTGATGAAGCAGCTAGAGGGCAGGCTTTTCAAATGGGACCTGAGTTCTCGGAAGCCCAGGGAAAACAGGCTGCGATGGTCAATTTCAAAACATCTGGCTGTGTGCCCCAGAGGCACTCGTTCGCCTTTCCCTCTGGGCATGCCATCACCATCTCCCCACAGAACCACTTGAGTTCCCTGACAAGTGATGCTTGCTCTTCATAGAATGGCCTTCTTCATGCCATTCTGCCTGAAAAGCTTCATTCTTCAGAAGCAGCCAAGAAGTCACCTCCTCATGAAATCCATCCGCAAGTCCTAACTCCTAAGCAGCTTGACTCACAAGCTCCTGTATTTTTGACACTTGCCACTTTGGCTCACTGTGGTTTGATGGCCTCTCCACACAGTCCATGAGCAGCAGGGATGACACCGTACTGATCACTGGCCCCTCCAAAGAAATCTTTGCTAAATCAAGAAATAAAGGCCTAAATTAGGCTGAAGCTGTTGGGAATGAAAAGGAACTAAATCCAGAATTCTTGAGAAAAAAAGGAATTTTGCGTTTGTGACAAAAAGAAAAATGGCATTGGGGTTTCTCACTAACTGGAATTGTCTCTTAGTTGTAACATGAACAAGGATAAGTCAATTTCTGAGTCTTAAGAGATTTCTTATGTCTAAAATGGAGACAGTAATTTGTACCCTAACTCTGCGCTGTGGTGGGGTCAAATGGTTGTGTGTAAAAGTATGCTATATGGTAGAAAGCGGTTGGAATGTTGGCCATTGATCTTAAGGAAGAAATAGTAAGAATGGGTCACTGGGTGTGTTGCATGAGAGAAGTTGAAGGGATTTTAGGATTACACCCGGGCCCAGGGCAGGAGCTTGGAATCTGTGGAGAATTTGCTCAAGTATACATTTGTCGTCCTGTGGTTACCCGCTCTGGGAATCTACCCCACAGACCTAGGCCAATATCCTCCTGTCCCTCCTCCTGACCAAGGCCTCCTCCTTGGAGAAGCCTCTGGTTCTGCTTCCCAGTGTTGCCCAGAGCCCACTGATGAGGAAGAGCCCCTGTGGGTGATACCCCTTCTTTCTGGGGTAGCCAAGGTTGATTTTTTAAACTCGTTATTAATTTTGAATCCTGCCGGGACTCCTCTGTCCGTCTCAGGAAATGCTCTCCGTCGGCTCAGAAGGAGAGAGGGAGAGAGAGAGAGAGAGATCAAGCAGGTCCCAAGAGGCCATTTTCTTCGACAGAAGTTGAGGCCCGGGTGTGGGGTTGGGGGCCGAGGCCTTCCAGCCCAGAGTTTCTAGTTTCTAGGGAGCTCCAGGCGTACACCCCGCGCTTCCAGGGTCCAGGTCCAGACGGGAGGCTCGATTACGGCCCACCATTTTGAACCACTCCCTGGGGCGGCGGCCCTGAAAGACTAGACTGGGGCTGGGGCTCGGCCACTTTTGCCCATGGGCCCGAGGCCAGTCCCGTCACTCGGGACTCGAACCTGCCTTCTCATCTTGAGGCCTAGTCCGAGGTTGCTGCGCTAACGCGGTCACACTGTCCCTTTAAGGCGGCACTTTTTATCCTTCATTTGTTTACTTCTGCATGCGCTTTCGTTTTTTACAGAATATGTTCACAATATCCATCCGCAAATGTCACTCCCAGGCACTTACCACACACACCTTGAAGTCATTGCTGTAATCTTAAGAATCGAGAGTTATAAACCGTGTGCCAACGTCTCTCTTTAAAAATTTAAACCTCTTCTACACTTTAGGGACTACTTTTTAGGAATAAACCATTTTTGCTTTAGTTAACAAATGTTTCTGACCTTCAGAACAATTCCGCTGAGGATAGAATACGATAACAAGCTTTAAGACGCACCTTTTCACAAAAATATTCTGTGTGGGCCCTCACAAAACCATCGAATCTTCTCGTATTCTTGAAGCAGAATGGTATGGTCCAGAACCGCCCATGTTTCCTGTGATTGGCCTTCCTTCCTCGGCGAGACGTGTGACTTTTGACCAATGGTCGTTCACGTTTCTCCAGCGGGAGATAAACGATAGAGGGAGGTGGCCGGGAAGACGCCCCCTGCGCGTTTTGGGATTGGCTACGTCGCACGGCGCGTGAAGACGGCGGGCCCGAAAGATGGGAACTACGACTCCCAGCTTCCTGCAATGGCTACTCCATCACGCATGCGCATAGGCGGGGCGGACTGGCTTCTATATAAAAGCGGCGCAGAGGACTAGGAGGCAGCAGTTGGAAGTTGGCAGGTGGAGAGGCAGGTTGGGAAGGGAAGTTGGGGGAGGAGGCGGAAGAGGAGCTGGTAGGGGGAGGAGGGAGGAAAAGAGGAGGAGGCGGAGAACTGAGCTGAGCAGAGCATCGAGCCAAAGGGGAGATGAGTTTGTCTGTCCTCGGATGAGGCTCCGGCCGGGCCTAGGGACCTGGGAGCTCGGGTTGGAGCGACACCCGTGGAAGTGGGAGGAGGTGGCTCTGGGACCTTAACCCCTTGTGAGCTCTGCGGCAGGGGATTTAACCCTTTGTGGATCCAGCCCCTTGGAGGCAGCGTCATCGGGTAGTTTTAACCCCTTCGGGGCTGGGTTTAACCCGTTGGACTTAATCGCATCTCCTTGCCCACCTATTCCTGCATCGTGGGGGCGCTCTGCTGGGAGGCTTGAGGCCCACCCCCCTCCGCACATTACGTTTTGTTCCTGCTGCTGCACCCCCTTGGACCCGCTATTTGGCCGCGCTGTGGGTCTTTAACCCTTTACTGACTTGAGCTCCTCCAAGTTGCAATTGGAGTTGGCTGACAGGACTGGCTAAAGGCGTCACTGCAGGAATTACTGACCGAAGTGGACTCTGTTGGACATTTTTAAAAAGAAAAACCTTTTTTTCTTTAAGGACTTACAGCCAAAAATTTTCAAACTTCGAGAAGAGTACTTTCTTAGCCATGGCCGAGCCACTCTTGGAACATCAGCACCAGCCTCAAACTAGCAACTGTACAGGTGCTGCTGCCGTCCATGAAGAGCGGAACCCTGATCGCCCCCCAGGCGCGGAGGAGCGGGTGCCGGAGGACAGTAGGTGGCAATCGACAGCGTCCCCCCAGTCGGGTGGCCGTCCAGGGCAGGAGGGGGAAGGGAGCCTGGGGCCCCAGCCGCCTCCTCTGCAGACCCAGGACTGTCCAGAACTTAGCTGCCCGGAAGCCGGCGAGAAGGGCCAGAATGGGGACGACTTGTCCGCTGGCAGAGTACCCCCGCCAACGGCGGGAGGGGAACCGAGGCCCGAAGCCGAACCGCTCGCCAAGCCATGTCATGACGCCGAGGCCAACAAGTTGGGGGCGCCTGCTGCAGGAGGCGAGGAGTCATGGGGACAGCAGCTGAGACAGCTGGGCAAGAAAAAACATAGGAGACGCCCCTCCAAGAAGAAGCGGCATTGGAAACCGTACTACAAGCTGACCTGGGAGGAGAAGAAAAAGTTCGACGAGAAACAGAGCCTGCGAGCTTCGAGGATTCGAGCCGAGATGTTCGCCAAGGGCCAGCCGGTCGCACCCTATAACACCACGCAGTTCCTCATGGATGATCACGACCAGGAGGAGCCAGATCTCAAAACAGGCTTCTACCCCAAGAGGGCTGCCGCCAAATCCGACGACACCAGCGATGAGGACTTTATGGAAGAAGCGGGCGAGGAGGATGGGGGCAGCGATGGGATGGGAGGAGACGGCAGCGAGTTTCTGCAGCGGGACTTCTCGGAGACATACGAGCGGTACCACGCGGAGAGCCTACAGAACATGAGCAAGCAGGAGCTCATCAAGGAGTACCTGGAGCTGGAGAAGTGCCTCTCGCGCATGGAGGACGAGAATAACCGGCTGCGGCTGGAAAGCAAGCGGCTGGGCAGCGACGACGCGCGTGTGCGGGAGCTGGAGCTGGAGCTGGAGCGGCTGCGCGCCGAAAACCTCCAGCTGCTTACGGAGAACGAACTGCACCGACAGCAGGAGCGAGCGCCGCTGTCCAAGTTTGGAGACTAGATTGAAACTTTGGGGTGGGGGGGCGGGCAAAGGGGACTTTTTACAGTGATGGAATGTAACATTATATACATGTGTATATAAGACAGTGGACCTTTTTATGACATAATCAGAAGAGAAAATCCCCCCGGCTTTGGTTGGTTTGGTAAATTTAGCTATGATGTAGCTTGCGTGCTTTCTCCTGTTCTCTAATTATGTGAAACTGAGGGTTGCTTTTCTTGTGTTTCTTTTTGGAAGTGTTTTTTTTTTTTTTTTTATGTGCAAGTAATTCGACCAAATTATAATGCATTTTTTTTTTTTTTTGTTAAAAATCTCTTCCTTAAAGCTATAAGGTGGCCAAATCTGAGAACAATTAAATTCTAGATATAATAAATTTAATACTTGTAAATGTAACATAGTTGTGTGATTTCTAGAGCTAATTCAAAATAGCGCTGATTTTATGCAACTGCATTTTTTGGGGGCAAAGAAATCATTAAATAGGTCAGTTTGAAAAAAATCTTTAATGGGTGAATTTTCAATTTGCCAGGTTTTCCCTTGAATGGGTTTTAGTGTGCTATAATATATAGTTCAGGCAAAGTATAAAGATTTAAATAGCTTCGAACTTAAATGTGTTTGCTTTCTAGTGCCTTTTTTCTTGATGTTGGAGAAACAAAACCAGTGTTGGATGTTTGGGAAGTAGAAAGTGGCTACAATCAGCAGCTTAAACTTTAATTCTGCTTCTCATTAGCTATTCAGAAGTCTATTAACAAAAATGTAAACCTAATTTGGCAGATAACTGACAGCCTCATTTCATTCCTACAAGTAGGTTTTTAGTAATCCCTCACCCCCCACCAATGAGGCTGGAAGGAGTTCCTGGACGCCCGCAAGAAGCTCTTGGTAAAGCTCTTGCTTAGGGAAAAGCAATGGTTGGATAAAACTCATGGGGCACCTCTTTAGGTTGTTTAGAGGTAGAGAATATCGGATTTATGGAGGAAATGGCTGTTGGGGCATTCCAAGGACTCACCCTAATTATGCAATACTTAGGAGCTCCTTATACCAAAAAAAGGAATAGAAGCTGTCCATCTTTCCATGAGGGTCAAATTAAAATTAGAAATGTCCCTCACTGTATTTCAAATACAAAGCTGCTGGTTCGGAAGCTAATTTAACTCCTTAGGGGCTGAGTGAGAACCCTGCACATTCCCCATACATCTGCTGTTCTGTCTCCCTAAACTGTGCTGATAGCTGCAGTTCTTGAGGAGTCCTACTCTTGATAATGCAGGGAGACCCTGGGAATTTCTACCCCCAAATCAAAAGAGTAAGAAAAGACTTTCCTGCTATCCCCATGGTTCACCTAGCCAATCTTCACTGCCCTGTTAGTGTTTCCTTAGGGCAATTGCACTACTTAAATCACTAGCACAGGGGTTCCTTAACTTGGAGCCTTAGAAACTACAGCAGGGCTTTGGGGTCCACAAACCCTATGAAAGTATATGTTGACTTGTGTTATATGTATATTTTTCTGGGGCAAAGAATTCAAGAGAATCATGAGATTGTCAAACCTCTTGAAGGTTAAAAAAAAAAAATCCTATTGGAAAGCTTGCTTTTGCAGTTAAATGAAATAGTGAAAGTGGTGGGGACTTCAAGAGTGAAATGCACTTTATAATGCATAAGAAGCATACACAAATCAATGAATCAAGAAATTATGCCAGTCAAGACTGACTCGGGGCCTTCAAAGCTGGTCTGAGCTGGCTTTATTCTGGTATGTGGTCCACTGGAGACAATATCTGATCAGTTTTTCCTTTGGCCTAAAACTACATTAAATGTCTATTTTGAAATAGTTTTTGTGTTTTTAATTTTCCTTCTGCTATGATGTCATGCAGCAGTCCCAGAAACCTGGATGTTTAGTTGAAAGGCAGCAACACTGCCCTCTGGCTTTACAGTGCAGAGCAGAAACCTCTGCACTGGGATGCAGCACTGATAACCCCAGATTTTAGAATCTCCTTAATAAGATTTATGTATAATGATTGTGTTTCCCCTATGCCTTGGAAAAACTTTGTAAGTGTACTTATCAGAAAAAAATAGTAATGTTTTACTCTTAGGAGGCAAATTCAGTCCAGTCCTAAAAAAATATATACAAATATTTAGTTTTAAATAACTCAAATTACTCTGATTTACCTCGAACTATGTAACTTTCTGAATTTTGCTTTCAAAGGCACTGGCATTTTACTATATTTATTGCATTTATGTTCCTAGAATGATAAGGTTTGTGTGAAATTTCAGTTTCTATCAACACTTTCTACATTGAAACATTTGACTAGCATATTGATCTCAGGGGAGAGAGAAGACTGAATTACCTATATTAACGGAGTTGTGATTACAAATGATCCTCAAGTCCATTCTAGCTTTTCACTGATGTCTCTCTGCCAAACATTTCAAATGAGCTGCACAAAAGACACTGTTTTACATTGGCAATTTGTTTGTTTCCTTTCTAATACTGGGGTCAGAGTATTCATCCAGGGCAAAGCGATTCCCAAACCTTGAGATAGCTGGCTGGGCAGCTTAATCAGCCTTTGAGTAAGTAAAACTTTTCTTGGTCTATCCTATAACATAAAAAGGCCCTCAGGAGACAGGGGCCTTTAAATTTCAGTTTGTAGAGAGAACACCAGGGAGTTCCAGATTGACTTAGTTCTGAAAAATAGACTAGATATCGCTAAAGAGAGGAAATATGATAAAAACTGGACTAGGCTAAGAGTCAAAATACCAGGGTCCCAGTCATACCTTTAATGTACCCAGCAGTGCAACCCTAGACACATGGCTCAGACGCTCAGCCTCACTGTTCATAAGCAAAATGGGGCTGTGCCTACCTTATAACTGCTATAAATAAATGATAGTGATAAAATGTGCTGCACATCATCCAGCAGTTGCCCATTTGACCAGTATTTTAATTTTTACTTCAGGATTTATAAAAGTATAAATGCAAAAATTTATATAAATTTTATATAAAAATCCTTTGCTGGGGGAAATGTAAATATATTTATCCTAATGACCTCAAGTTAGAAACCAAAATCGACTTTGAAGATACAGAAGTTAACTGCAAGAGAAATTGTGAATTAAGAAAAAAACTAAGAGAAACCAGAGTGAATTCGAGAAATAATTACCTTCATAAAATCAAGGGCTGACTATATTTAGTCAAACATTAGGTAATATACTACAAGTGTCCCCCTGGCCACTTACACCAAGAACAGCTGGCAACAAATATTCATAACAGTGTGATAGAAAAGTCCACTAGAGAAAAGATAGTATTTGTACCTAAGTACATGTGGTGTATGAGTTTTTGTTTAAAAAATTTTTCACATTTGACAAGGTCAAATAAAATTCCACTTTACTATTCTTTCTCACGTAAAGTGTAAATGGTTGATGCTAAAATGAGGAGCAATTTTTAAAAGAAAGAAGATGTCAAATGCAGGCCCTCAGCACAACAGAATCTGCTAACCAAAGATTCCATCTTTGGCCAATTTTCCAATAGTTTTTGAATACTGGAAAGCTTACAACCTCATCCCATTTCTTGTTGAAAAAAACAAAGGCTGAGTTTTAAACAGATCAATAATGTACCTCTCATAAATCCTCCCAAATAAACTTTTTCTTGGGTTTTACTTAGAGGCAGTTCAATTATGACAAATGTAACAACATGGTCAACAGTAGGAATAATCTTAGTACTTTACTAATAAACCTTTGCACATCATCAAAAATCTTTCAAATGGTTGAGTACTAGAGCAAACTGTTGGTCTTTTGAAATACTGTGATCTTTCAATACAGCACACCAAGAGCAGTTACACTGGCTTATACATTTTTTCCAAGAAGAGGAAACATTCAGAAGGAAATTGTAAACTCATCTGAAGTCACATTCTATCTGACACATTTACTGACTTTGTATGAAGTGTTAAAAAGCCCTGGGTTTGTGGTGAACAAAAAGGCTATTCCTGAAGGAAAACATGGGAGCTTTAGAGTGCTCCATGCACAAGAATTTGAGAAAATGATAGCATCACTACTTTTATGAGCTATTCAGCAGAACTTGTCCTTATCTCGAGTGGTAGTGGAGGAGGTTAATTTGAAGTTCTGAAACCTGCCCTAAACATGTAATTCTGCATACCTGGATAACTCCGGTACAACTTTAGGACAAAAGTATAAGGCCATGTTGGAGGATGGAAGGGAATGTCGAAGAGGTTAGTTCTACCTTTTCCTCTAGTTATTACTAAAAGTGTACTTAATAAAACAGCAAACATTGAACAACTTAGACGAAAGGCAGAGAATGGTGAGAGCTAAATAGATTGTAAAAATCTGTGGAAATCAAATCGTTTAGAAGTGAGCATCTTCATCCTGAAGAGGGCTGCTGCAAAGAATCAATGAATCCTGCTTACACAGTCATTAGTCCCTAGGAGTTGGCCATTAGGCAAATGTAAAATGTCCAAGACTTCACAATAACAACTGCTTGGTACCCTGAGAGACTGACCCTATTTGGATGGGCTCCCTTCGTGCTGCCATAGGCACACTTCGGTGAAGCAGCCCTCCCAACTGCCCCCAAACCTTTGACAGCAGAAGTTCTAAAGTTCCCAAATAACAAAGTTAGTCAGTAAATCTTTAGACAGTCACTGCAGAATAGTTACTCCTCAAGGTATTTATGAGGCAGCATTGATACCATTTTCAAGTTAAGAAATTGAGGCATATAAGGTTTGTAGAATTTGTCATAAACCACAAAGCAACTCATCTGAAAGGGGAGAGCTAAGGAGGAAGTTGAAGGTCTGGTTGAACATTAGATGACAACAGACTCAGCAACAACAGTCTGGCCTAATCTTCAAGATCTGGCCTCTAGCCAAGTCGGTGGTAGCACACTCAGAATTTGGAGTTCCTAACTTCCAGTCCTGTTTTCCTCAGTGGATAACCAAGGGACCATTAACAAACTGGTTTTATTCCCAACTTTTCTTATCAGGGAATGGTAATGTATATGGGTCAACCTTAAAGAGGTAAGCTTTCATCTTTATAAATAACACATTTTTACACCTGATACAATATTCTTTTTAGTAACATCAAAAGGTTTAACTAGATTACTTCATAATGAAGGATGAATCACAAGAGTCTGTGATCCTCCTTCATTGAGAGAACCATAATCTTCAGAGGCCCTTTCAGCTCCTATAACTATTTAACTTAACTCCTACCAAATTAGTGTCAGCTTTTCCTAACTTGAATCTTCTCTTGATCTGAAGACAGTGTAAAATATACACGACACAAGCCAAAAGTCAATCTACGGTATGAATCAAGTGTACTGAAGCTTCATTTAGGATTAAGTGGTTCAAATTTTGAATTAAGAACTGGAGTCAATGGTGATCATCTCTCTGCAATCCAGTTCTGAGACTTTCTCTAAGAACCTCTGGGGGGCAGGAGAAAATAGTTAAAGCTATGGAACTGTCATTTTTACAACTTAAAAAAAATTTTTTTTATTGACAGGAGGAACAGGAATTCAGTTCTGAAGAACTTTTCAAGGTTTTTGTCATTCCCATAGGCTTAGGAATGCTTTGACCACCTGTAACTGACAATGACTTTCATCACAAGGTACTCTCAAAGATAAAGTTCACTGTCCAGTCACTCGCCTACTTCAGAGTCTACGTAGGCAAAATTTTAACTGACATTTTGGCAACAAAATTAAGATATCTTTGAGCTATAACTCTCTCTGAATTTAGATTTCGAGCAGTAGGAAATAAGATGGTTTAATCTGCAATTCAAAAGAACTTCATACTTTAAGAAGCTGTTACAGCTGTAATGTAAGGATGAGTATTTATTTTTTTCAAAGCAGATCTCCCCTACTCCCCAAACTCCACGCATGTGGAGTAGCTCCAACCTGCAACTTCTATTTTGGTAGCATCTAGGATCTACAGAAGAGATTCTCAATTACTTGGAATTTCAAAATTGAGGTTCCCTAGCAACAATGCACCAGTGGCAAAATACTCTATATACTTTGTGGAAAAAAGCTCTTTAAAGTGGAAAGAATTTGTAGTCTGATAAAGATTACATTGGAATCGGTTCGTTTTTTCCTCTAGGAGGGCAGACATTTCTCCCAAGTTTTGGTAAAAGTTATGGCTCAGATTTCAAAATGCAAACAGATGTTCCTAAAGCATCCGAAATGGGCCATGGCGACTCTTAAGTTATTTTGTGTCCTAACCCTGTAAAGGGCAACAACTCATCATCCCCCTTTGGTGTAAACTTTCAAGAGAGGTGAAAACAGCACACTTTCGGCGTTTCCCAAAGTGGCTGGCAACGTGCGAGGTCCACGAATCGGGGCTGGATAGGATAAACCCTGAGGCCAAGAGCGCTCAGAAATTTCCAAGCATTGGGCTCGTGAAGGTGTCTACATTCCCCTATCTAGCTGGTCCCAGGAGAAATTAGTGGTTGTTTTACAGTAAGAAGAAGACTGTTTCTTTTTGCAACCCGGGCCATCAAATGGCCTTGGTGTATGGGGGTAGATGGTGGGTGCACCGGACCCTCCAACTTCGGAGGCTCCAGCTCACTGCCATGCCAGAGGGATGCGCAGCAAGGGCCAGTGTTGCGACCTCCACCCTCCCCCGTGGCGCCAGTCTTTGGAATCTGGCGTCGCTCCCATCTCGCCCGTCGAAGTGGGGGTCCTGTTACACCGGGACTCGCCTTCATACCAAAAAAAAAGAAAGAACTTGGCAGAGCTCGACCACAAGATCTGCACCCCCGAGAAAGGAAAGCAGAGGAGAGAAGTTTCACCCTGTCTCTCCCCAGCTAGGGTCTCGGGAAACACGCGGTAATTACCCAAGAACCCCGCCCTTTGTGAGAGGCGAGGCTGCGGGGCTGCCGGGACGGTTTGAGGACCAGGCCCGGCCGGGGAGACGCCAACCTTCACCCCTCCGGTCCCCGGTCCCACTTCCCGCTGTCTCCCGGCGCCGCCACTTCAGGCAGCCCACTCGGCCCGGCCTCTCCCCGCGCCCGGACCACCCCCCACAGGGGTGCTCTCACTGCGCAGCGAGTCCCTCCGCTGCCTCCTCCCAGCCCAAAATGGCGGCGGCGGCCACCGATTCTTCCCGTCGCCTTCCTCTAAGGCCGAGGATCCCTCCGCCCCCCAAGCCCCTCCCCTATCAGCCGGATCTATTTTCTGCCTGGTAGAGATTAACGCCATCAATGAACTCTTTAATTGAACTTGAAAGGCGGTTCCCGGTGTGCTTCCGCACAGCCAATCGTTGACGAAAGTGGGAATATTGGCAGACGAATTGACCAATCAAAGAATTCATGGGTGAGGGCACTACCACACCCACGCAAGGGTAGGTGGGATTTGGAGTTCTTAGTGTGGCTGTTGACGTGACAGGATGTTGGTCAGCCTTTCCAGGCTAGAAGAACTACCATCCCCAGCAGGCACCGCGCTGTCAAGCTGTCCCCTCCCCCAACCTTAGTGCCTTGGCGGCTTGACCAGAGCTGCTGCAACTGCAGCAAGAGGTAGGGTTGAAGCTTTGGCAATTGCACAGGCAGGCGATCGCACTGAAAGACACACAGATGTAATCGTGTGCATAGCCCTTGACAACAAATAGGTCAGTTTTCCGCCTTTGTAAAACCTCCTTCCCGGATCATTTTCCCTCTCCCAAGGAATCCATCCTTATCCCAGTTGGGTTTTCCTTTCAGTTGCGTGTAATGCGAAGACTTCTTACCCTTTCCTCTGTTTCCCCATCCTGAGAGGAAAGAGGGAGGTGGGCCAGGCCCTGTAGATGAAAGGCCCAGGCTCAGCCCAGGCCCAGCCTACTTTCTTGAAGCATTGACTTCTGGAGCCCAGCCTCGGGAGGAGGTAGCGGGGAGGAGGTAGGGGCCTGCAGTTAAGATTGAGACCCTCTGGAAAGGACCCCATCTAAACTTGCTACATATTTTCTTGTCGGAGCCACTGATCCACTGCACTCCTAGCCTCTCCAGGCCATTGCTGTAGGTGTATTGTCCTCCCCAGGCAGTCTTTCCTCCTTTGGTTTTTGGGGTAACAAACAAAGCTTAGGTCTAACTTCCTAGAGTTGCCGGCCTGGGCCTCAGTGACTTCCAGGAGAGCAGTATAGAATGTAAGCCCTGGCCTAGGGCCTGAGAAACAGGATTGGGAAAATGACTTCTTAATCCCCATTTGGCCCTTTGCTGGCTGGAGGTGTGAAAACCAGGGTGTGGAGACAGCCTTTGGGGCCTTCATTTGAAAATAGGGGTGTGTAGCCTGGTGCTACAAAATGGCTGCTGCTGCCTTGGTAAAATAATTCCTGGGCAGCCAGAGTCTTCCTGAAAATTCTTCAGGTCTTAGGTTTCTGTTGTTATTTAAAGCAGGTGTCACTAGGCATCTGCTGGGAGATTTGGAACAGAAGAAGGTGGCCACTCTGAACCAGACCAACTAATACAGAATCACCAGCAGCCCTGGAGGAGGCCAAGGTAAGGCTCACCCTCCCAACCACCTCAGTGCCCTGAACGTGGATCCTGCCATCTGGAATCTTGGCTTCTTGTCTCAGATGTGTTGGCAGATATGGAAAAGCAGTATTTTTAAATGAGTCCCTACTATGCATTGGGCAATATGCCAGACACTAAATCTGTGCTATCTCATGACCAATCCTAGTAGCTCTTCAAGGTAGGATTTATTGTTTCCATTTCAAAGAAGTTAGGGTTCTCAGAGCTGAAATATCTTTTCTAGAATCATGCAGCCAGCAAGCAACAGACCCAGCTTTTAAACTTAGGGGCTTCTGACAATACAACCCTGCCTTGCATTTTGTCCGGGCTGAGGACCAAGTGTGAAATGTGGAAAATAGTTTGAGCAATTGGTTCATAATTTGAGATGAGTAGGGGGTAGGATGTCACCCAGGAGAGACGGAGAGACGGAGAGACAGATTGTATCAGGCCCTCAGAATGTCACCTCTGATCTGACAACAGAAGCCCAAATCCTCCAGGCCCATGCTTTCTCTCACTGCCTCCACCTTGTCCATTCTTCCCTAATCCCCTACTCTCTACAGTTGAGGAGGGAACTCAGCTCCTCTGACTCACCCTATCTAGCCACTTCCAATGTTTTCTGGATTTATTTAATTTGGGTTTCATGACATGTCTGTACTAGAAAGTTCAGAGAGGGCAAATGACTCGCTCAGGTCACACAGCTTGCCTGCAATAATGGTAACAGTGGTAGAAGGACAAGCCTGGGGGCGGGGGGTGGGGTTGCGGGGAGAGGCGTGGGGAGGGAGGAAGTATGTGGGGCTTAGGGGCAGGGTTGGCCTAGATGAGGGGAAAGATTATTAGGGGACATTTGCTGAGGATTGGGAGCAGGTGAATGATTGTGCACACACAAACAAGCTACCCTGCCTCATAGTTCCCAGCGGCCTTGCCTCTTCCAGGTGGGGCAGATCTCTGTCTCATTTGGCCAAAGACACTGATGGAGACAAGGGCTATCACTCTTGATTGATGATCTCCCTGCAGGTGAAGTAACAATACAACACAACACAACAGACCTCACTCACTCCCTCCCTCCAACATTCCTCCTTTTCTCTGACGTTCTTTTCAGTCTTCAAAAGACACTTAACACACCTCCAGCTTTTACAGGGCTGCATCCCCCAGTACATACCCTTTGCTTGTATGGACTCATGCTCACATGTCCCTGAACCATGTTATCCATTATAAAACAACATACCAGTCAGTGGTAGTAGTTATTATTAGAATTCCCCAAACCACAAACTTAGAGCTACTCATTCCCCATCCCCCACACATAGTATTCCCACCCTCACCACGACAAAGATAACCAGATGCCTGGGACACATACTCTCTTGATAGAGTCCTTTCCACCTCTTAGATAAGTTCTAGAACTCTCTCAGCTGCAGGCTGGGGGTTGGTCCTTCCTCTCCCGAGTGAGAACCTCTTTGCTGCCCTTCATAAGGAAGAGTGATACCAACTTCTGCCTAGAATAAATGTACTCCGTCTCTTCACCCCAGAATGAGAGAAAGGAGAGTCTTGTGTTCCAATATCTTCTGGATCCCTCTCTCACATATTTGTTAAGCACTCACCTTGGGTCCTGCACAGGGACACAGTGGTGAACTGAACACACAGGGCATGTTCTTAGAGGAGGAAGAGAGATGGTGAATGTGCTAAATTCAACATAGGATGTTAACTGTGTCATGTGATAACGGAGTCAGTGGGAAGGGGAGATGGACGCTACATTAGATAGGTCAGTGAGGGCCTCTCTGAAGGGGTGACATTGGAACGAAGCCCTAAAGGATAAAAAAGAGTCAGCTATCCAAATAGCTGGAAGCAGGATAAGCTACTTAATTTACGGGGCTCAGTGCAAAGGGCTCTTTCTTAAAAAATTATTAAGAAGTTCAAGGTAGTGACAGCAGAGCATTAAGCAAAGTGTGGGGTGGGGCCTTTCTAAAGGGGAGGGGGGCTCTGTGTGACTGCATGGATCACTTGCCCATGAAGCAAGCCAGCTCTGTCTGAAAGACAAGTTTTCTAGGAAGAGGGAAGAACAAGTGCCATTTGGGCTTTTGATCAAGCAAATGCATCAGGAGCCACTTTCCATCCTGCTTTTCTTTTTTTTCCCTACTTCATTCATTCAGATAGTATTTACTGAGTGCCTGCTCTGTGCCCGGTACTGTTCTATGCATTGAAATTACCAAGTGAAAAACACAGGTGAAATTCCTGCTCTTGCTGTGAGTTTGCTTGGGGTGGGTTGGGGGACAGACGGTAGACAGGTAAGCCATAAACAAACAGATGGTTGCAGAAGGATGAGAGCTAGAGAGGGACCAAGTTAGCTGGGTGTAGAAAGGTTGGCTTTAGGCAGTGGGGGACAGGGAAGGATTTCACCACCAGGGACAGCCTGGCTGTGATCCATCCTTCCTCATGCTCTCTCTTTAGACCCCTGGTGCTCCTGGGAGCCCAGCAATACCCGCTGAGCCTCACGACCCTGGCGGTTCCCTGCCCCTGACACCCCGCATGGAGAGCCACTCAGAGGAGGAAGATCCTATGAGGGCTGGCAGTGACCTCGGCTGGAAAAGTAGGGGCCTCCAGACCCAGAGCCCAAGGGGCTGCTCAGTGGAGTCTGTGCTGGGCCGGAAGAAACACCGCAGGCGGCCTTCAAAGCGCAAGCGGCACTGGCGGCCCTACCTGGAACTGAGCTGGGCCGAGAAGCAACAGCGGGATGAGAGGCAGAGCCAGAGGGCCTCCCGGGTCCGCGAGGAGATGTTTGCCAAGGGCCAGCCCGTGGCGCCCTACAACACCACCCAGTTCCTGATGAATGACCGAGACCCTGAGGAGCCCGACCTGGATGTGCCTCATGGGGCCTCCCACCCAGGCTCCAGTGGAGAGAGCGAGGCAGGGGACAGCGACAGGCTAGGCCACGGTCACGGTGAGTTCCAGCAGAGAGATTTCTCGGAGGCCTATGAGCGCTACCATACTGAGAGGCTGCAGGGCCGCAGCAAGCAGGAGCTGGTGCAAGACTACCTGGACCTGGAGCGGAGGCTGTCGCAGGCCGAGGAGGAGACAAGGAGGCTGCAGCAGCTGCAGAGGTGCACCAGCCGGCAGTCCTGTCGTCAGGTGGAGGAGCTGGCTGCAGAGGTAGAGAGGCTCCGGACAGAGAACCAGCGGCTTCGGCAGGAGAACGAAATGTGGAACCGAGAGGGCAGCTCAGGTGGTGGGGAGCTGGGCACCTAGAGGTGCCCCCCCCCCCAGCCACGTTGACCTAAGGACACAGTTCCATTTCATACACACTCAGGCCAGCTGGGTCTCAAAGAGGCAGGTGTCAGATGAAAACCACTCTCAGAAACCTCGTGCCCCATGAGAACAGCTAAAACAGGATCAGACTTCCACCTGTCATTTCCACGATTTGTTCTTTGGTGTCACCTTATTTTTCACAAAGAAATTAAATGGTTTTGGGGAAATCAAATGTGAGTGGCTTGGACTGATTTCACTAGGGTGCTGAGAATCAAAGCACATTTGTCTCAGAGAGGTTTGGATCTCGGGGTTCCAGTCCCCCTCTTGCCCCACACCTGGGAGGACAGCAGACCTTTACACTGGGGACCTAGCAAGATCTCCAGGATGCCTGAATTCTTCTCTGTGTGTCGTGTGTCAGCAATCATCAGACTGCTTCGAGGTTTTATAGAGGAGGATGCTGAAGTGGGAGGGGCTCAATCAGGAACCCCTGGGTTCAGCCGGAACCCGACTTAAGATGTTAGACTGATGGGAAGAGCTGGGAGCTTCCTCAGACGAGAGAGAGCTGGGACTTTTGGAGAAGGCCCAGGTTGAGAGGTTCCTTCAGAGTTTGTTCCCAGGATCCCTGTATTCTCCCCATCTTTCCCATAGTGTAGAAGGCTGGGCTAGAGGAGGTCTGGGTGTCTCCTTGTCCTTGACAGTCCCCCACCCCCTACATGTCCCAGCCAGGGGTTGGGCAGGAGGTTAATCGTCAGTTTACCTCCTGGAAGAGGCTTACAAGTAAGCACTGAAGGGCAGTTTTCTCCTGATGAAAAATCAGACCAAGAGGCAGAGAGGGGCAGTGAATCGATCCTTAGCAGAGCTGGTGGCCTGGCTTTCCTGGTGCCAGCTGTGCATCTGTGCATCCTGCTTCTCTGAAGTGAGCCCCTCACCTGTCTGCATATAGTAGAGAGCTGAGTCAGCCTGATGCAGATAACCGCCAACATGCCAGCAGTATTGGGCTCTGAAAGGAGCTCACACACCCCTCACTCTCAGACCCACCCTTCCCTAGACACTGTCTCTCCTTGAATCACTCTCCCAACATCTTTGTTAGACCTGCAGAGTGTCAATCTGAAGTGGTGGAGGGGGAAGTTAGTCAACTCACCACTGAGCCTGTGTTGGCTCTGCCACCTTGCACAGGGAGGGGCAGAGGCCTGGCTGGCCTGACCTAGCTTCCATTCCAGGAAGGCTCATTTTGACAGGCCACATTGGGCAAGAGAAGAGCTCAGGCCTGGGACCTACTAAATGGAAATGTTGATGAACCCCGCGAGTTGCCAGGACAACTTTCATTTCTGCCCTGCCACACCCAGGCCTCACCAGTGCCTTCTACAATGACGAAAGGCAAGAATAGATTCTAGGAAGGGATGGATTTCAAGAGAGCAAAATCTCCCATCCCTGTGGAGCCTGCCCCTAAAACCCTGGCCAAGGGTTTCAGCCCCGCTCCCTTTGATCTGGGGCAGCTCTGTCAGAAAGGGCCAGAGGAATGATTGTTCCCATTTTGCAGATGGGAAACCCAAGACTCAGAAAGGATGTGGCTTTCCAGCCTCCAGAAACACTGGCCTGAGGCCTGCCTTCCCTTGTGGGGTACTAGCCAGGGACCCAAAGGCCCCTGGGCAGGCTTGGGCAGCCTCCCAGCTGCTGCATTCCTCAGCAAGGGGCCCCAAGGGAGAGGGGTGGAGGAAGGCAAGGACAAAGGTTGTTTACCCAGAGGAGTTAGTAACTGGGAGGGAGAGAAGATTCCAGAGGGCTGCTGGAGTGGGGGGGGGAGTGATGGATGTGGGTGCTGGGGGATGGGTGTGCTTGTGTTGAGGAAGTTGGTGCTGGGGGTGTGTCCAGGTGCTGGGGGCGTGTCCAGGAGGTGGCTTGAGCCATCATTTCCCTGAATAGGCAAGAATTGCAGATAGGGGAGGGGACAGGTGAGGAGCTATGCTTGGCCCTGAGGCTGAGGAACCTGGAAACTGGAAAGCTGCCAGCTGGCCCTCCCCACCTCCAATACACACACAGACACACACACACACACACAAAATGGCTGAAGGGCTCTTGGTTAGGGCTGCGCCCAGGTGGGTTAATTTTCCCAAGGCTGGTGGGGGACAGGATGGGGCAAGAAGAAAACAAAGAAGTGTATGAGCTGAGAAAGTGTCAGGAGGGGCTGAAAGGGATTAGTAAAGAAGAGAGAGTGTTACCCCTGGAACCCATCCGGTTCCTTGACCTCAGTGACCCCCACTCCCACCCCCACCCCAGGGTGTAGCTGGGGGGTCTCTGGGCTCACTACTGGGGAAGGGCAGCTTAGCTACAGGTGGTAGCCAGGCATAGGTTCATTTTGCCTGCCCCTTTCCCTCTCTGGCTGCCTGGTCTTGAGGCCCCCGCCACACACACCCACCCACACAGCCCCTTCAACTGGGGAAGGCGGAAGGTGGGCTTGGACACACTCCCCTCTCCTCCCCAGGCTTTTCTAGAGCAAATGCTCAGTACCTTACTTCTCTCATGTCCATTTGCTTTCCAGGACCTTCTTGGTCACCTGGGCCAGGGGAGGCCCACAGGATAGCAGAAGCTTCCCGTGACCCCTGTGTACCCTGGCCTGGGATCCTCCTTTTTTCCCCATCCAGGGTTCCTCCCCCCCAGGTGGAAACTCCTGTGTCCACTGGACAGACCCTGCTTGCAGTGGGGTCAGGGAATGAGAGGTAGTGGGACTGACAGAGGAGCTGAGGGGGCAGGAAGAAGCTGCCAGGAAGTGGGGAAGGGGGTCTTGAGGTGAAGTAATTCAGTATGAGGAAAGAGGGTGACCAGCTCCCATTGCCCCTGTTGGGTGCAGGCAAAGATGATACTGGCCCTTTAAGTGGGGGTGCCAGTCAGTGCCCTCCCCCAGCCAACCCAATTCGTGGGCATACTGAGCATGTGCAGGAGCTGAGCAAGCAGAGGGGAGGGAAGTGGGGGGGGGAGGATAGATTCCGGAGGGAACTCCTCACTCCCCTACTTCCTGTAGCTGCCCCACTCTCCTTCCTGGGTCTGACAAAGGAGCCGTGGTGCTCACTCAATCCCTTCCCCCATCCCAGAGCCAGGTGGGTGCTGCCCTCTGGGGGCTCTGGGGCTTACAAGGGGTGATGGACAGGCCCTCTCTGCTCTGGGAGTTCTTGGCAGCACCCCTGCTGCCTGGAAGTGGCACACACACAGCTCAGTGCCATTCTGGCTTCCTGGTGTGGGTGGTGGTAATCTTCCCACTGCTTAACATGTTCAATTTCATTCCATTGGTGTCAGAGGTTTTAAAAGATCTATATACCTGCGATGACACTCTGCTCTGAAAATAGCTTAAAAAGTGAGGTCCCTGCCCCCACCCCAAGGAGCTTCCAGTCTAAAGTCTGAGAGGATGCAAACAGCTCAGAGGCCCAAAGCACAACTGCCAAGTCCTCCTCCCTGCCTCCCACCTCAGCCCTTCCTTCACCTTCCCTCCCCCACTTGGCACTGGCCTACCCTTCTTATTCCTTTAATCTCTTAACCACAGACAGGTACCCTTATTTTCAACTGAGGTGAAATTCACCTAACACGAAATTAACCATTTTAAAGTGAACAATTCCATGGCATTTAGTAAATCCACAGTGTATGCAACTGTCACCCCAATCTAGATCTAGCAGTATCACCCCAAAAGGAAAACCTGTGCTCATTAAGCTGTTAGCTCTTCATTCTTGCCTTTCTCTAGCCCAGACAACCGCCAATCTTCCTTCTGTCTCTGTGGACTTTTTGATTCAGGATATTCCGGTGGTAGAGCTAAGAGGGAAAGACTAGTCTCTTGGGGTCCGTATTGGAAAAGCACAGATCCCCTGAGGGCCTGTTATGGAGGGAGCACTAGGCCAGGAGTCACAGAGACCTGGTATCTATTCCAGTTCTGCTTCTAACTCAAGGGCCTCCTCACCTCCTTTATTCAAGGGGGTGGGGGGCTTCAGTCCAGTCCAGGATTCTGGGCCCTCCAGGACCTATCCCTGGCTAGCGGGGGCTTCTGTCTGGGATTGTTCTGCTTGACCTGAAAAATACAATACCTCCTCCATCTTCTTGGCTCTTCCCTGCCAGGTCCAGGCAGTGAAGGAGGCCCCAAGGGACATACCATGGGGTTTGGGGTCAGAGGCATGAGATGAAGAAATTTGATTCAGAGAGAGGTTGAGAAACTTGCCCAAGGCCACATGCCTGCCACACTGGAGTTGCAGCCGGTTCTGTCTGCTTTTATTTGAGCGCTTGGCCATTGTGCTGTCCTGTCTTCAAAGAGATGAAGTGAGTTAAGGACTTAGAAAATTGTCAGCTGAGTGGGAGGTGCTCTCAAATGGAAGCGGCCATAAATTTTACTACTTGCGGGGCATTGCATAATCCCAAAGTGACTAGCTCCATTCTGGGGTGGTTCGTGGGAATTCTTTTCAGTCCCCGTCCCCTTATCTTTGGCAAGGAGTTTCCTCTTTGCCCTCTCTATTGGCCTCCCTAAAATGGCAGCTTCCGTGGGGGCTAAGGCAGCTGCCTGGGCCCTGACCCTTTAGGGCAAGTGGGAGTGGGAAGGCGGCTCCTCCTTCCCCAAAGAAGATGTTTTGTTGCCTTCACCTGGGGCTCAGTTAGCCCATTTCTCCATGCTGAATGTTCACCCCTGCCCCCCAACAGAAAGGCCTTTGTGGACCCAGAAACAGGAGGGAACTGCACAGGCCTTGCCTGGCAGGGGGACAGGCTGAGCAGCTGGCTCCCAGTTGGCCACTGTGTCCCGGCTGCGTGTAGGCATGGACATTCCAGAGACCACCTGTCCCAGAGATCCTCCCTGGACCCCATCCAAAATGGGATGCCCAGAACTGCCCTCAAGGCACCTGCCATCTCCTGCCTCAGGACCTCTGCCACAGGCCATCATTCCACAGAGAAGAAAGGAACAGAGGTCCCCTTGGGCCCACCCTTGGCTCTAACTCCCTCCAGTTCCCTCTCTGGGGTTCTCCTCAGGCCCCCACAAACCCATTCAGTCATTCAGACTCTACCGCAGTGTGAGGACCTCTGTGGGGGAAGCTGCAGGCTCCCTCTCTTCCCATTGGGTCCTCAGGCCCCACTGTCCTTTCTGGCTTGGCCTGCCTTCCTTGGCTTCTCAGTCCCAGCCTCAGCCATTTCCCTCCTGGGCCTTTGGACAAGAGGATCTTTTTTCTCTGGGTCCCTAATCCAACTGTCCTCA